TAAATTTCGTTCGATAGCGCGGGATTAGGGTACGCCCCTACCTGAAGAAGCCTGAGTGTCAGAGCCTGAGGTCTGCTTAGTTTTCTGTGCAGTGGAGGGTATTGTCTCAGCGCCGTGTAAAAATGTTTTGTCAATTCATTACACGAGATAGGAGGGTCACGGTTTTCCAAAACATCAGCGCCGCGCCCCCCGATAGCTTCGCGGTTTACTATGGTCCTCGCGAAGCTATGTGGGCTGACTCGTTGAGATTGGGCGGGGCTCCCTCAATGCATCCCATACGAGCTGGGAACCAAACGAGTGTGTGTGGCTCGATATCTTTGTCCCGAAGAATTCGCAAAGCTGGTCCTGATATTGTTGTCTTGGCAAATGCTCGGATCACTGATTTCGAGTCGCTGTAAATTGTGGACCTCCCGTTATCCAGCAAGGCCAACGCAATCGCCACTTGCTCTGCTATTTCAGCCACCGTCGTCAGTGACCGTTGTCGAGTTTTGATACTGCCCTCGTGGTTGATGCTCACTGCCACATACACCTTCCCTTCGGGATACCGGGCCGCTTCGACCAAGCAACAGTCTCCGGCATGTTCCCGAGCCCTTTGTAGTGTAGAGCCTTTTCCCTGGCCCGTCGTCTACCCTCGTTATGCTCCGGATGGACATTTCGCGGGATGGGGACCGGTGATTTGTTCTCGCTGTTGACGAGAAATGCTTCAGAAGGGAGACTTGATTTCCCGTCAGGGGAATCCCCAGCTTCCACAGAATGTTTAATACTGGAACGCGTGATGGACGGCCTGGCGAATAGCACCCTCCCCTGTGCCTCTGCAATTTCTTCCAGCGTGTTGTGCATGCCGAGACGGAACCGTCTATCCGTGCTTGTGTACATGGTAAGCTCGAGAGCGCTCTTGATGGCCTTTCTGATTAACGTGTTGAGCTTATCACGCTCTGACCTCTGTCATGTTGTGCATGGCTGCAACGTAGGTGAAATGGCACATCACAAAGTCATGCACCAACCTTACGAGGTTATCTTCTCCAAGTCCCCTTTGCCTGTTGACAACCCTTCCTATCAGTCTGATGGCACTGTCAGTTTTTCTGGCTAGTCTCGTAACCGTCAGGTTATTGAAGGCGTTCGACTGGATGGTCATACCTAGAACCCGGAGGGAGTCTACCCTGGGAATCAAGCTGTCTTCACCTGTCCTGAGAGTGATGTCGATGTTTTCTAATGGTTTCCACCCTCTCGGTTGGGGGCCCGTGCGCTTGGGCCTGTATAGAAGCAGTTCTGATTTCAGCAACGAGCACCGAACACCATGCAGTCGGTTTTAAGTAGTTCTCCATGTCCTCAATAGATAACACTTCTTTCACCATGTCTGGCTACGCGCAGTGGTGTCTTTTTGGTACGCATTCATTTTATATGTTGCCTCTGCGGAATATAGCTTAGCTCGATGTATGCGCTTCTCCTCGTCTGATATTTTAGTCACCCATTCATGCGAGTAAAAATAAATTCCTGAGAGTTATTCTGGCCGGTTAGTTGACAATACTTCGGACTTAAATTCCGAGCTACAATTGATGCCACCTCTATCTTGATTGTAAGTATTCGATGATATTTTTAATACATAGACTGCTATCTATCTAGTTTCTTAGATATTTTTCTCTTGTACTGTCTCCTCCTCACTTTGTTTTCCTGCTTGAAATCTATAAATAGCTGTGTCTATAAGTGACGGTAGTCACAGTATATTGCAAAATTTTGTGCCACTGCAGAAAACATGGTTGTATGTGTGCGTGTGCGTGGTGTGTGTGTGTGTGTGTGTGTGTGTGTGTGTGTGTGCGTGTGTGTGGTGTGTGTGTGTGTGTGTGTGTGTGTGTGTGTGTGTGTGTGTGTGTGTGTGTGTGTGTGTGTGTGTGTGTGCGTGCGCGCGTGCGCGCGTGCTCTCACCGTACTTTCCTTAGGGGTCATGAGCCTATTGGTCTTGTAATGTAAACGTCCATGCCACATTAATGAACAACAGGTGATCAACATTACCGGGAAAATTCACTATACGGTGTGCCTCATAACCATATAGTGGTTTTGGTGCATAATACTCAATATATTGATTATTTGATTAACTTGTACCTCGCAATTGCTATCAACACAAAGAGCACAATAGTAGCAGCCACACAGTCGCTGGTCATCTAAAATCATTTCAAAGGTAAAGCACATTTTCTTCTTAATCACACACACTATTCTTTTTGTATGTTTTATATAGTGCAAGAACTACAACGCCGTCACACATGCAGTTTCATTAGAGGCAAGATTACTTCTACATATAAAAAACAATAACTTTCGTATGCGTTTCCAATATATGAGTACGCGTCTTGTGCCAAGTTCCTCACTAAGATACGTTAGTTATTGCAAAATTACCACTGTAATAGCATAAGCAATACGTAAGTACCAACGATAGAAGTCCTGTGTTGATAAAATAACAATAGTGTAATAGCATAAGCAATACGTAAGTACCAACGATAGAAGTCCTGTGTTGATAAAATAACAATAGGTCCATACTGATCATATCAATTCAACGAATATTGATGCTCCTTGTCGCCCATATTAGGCTACCAGCTCAGTCGCGGGAAGCATTTTTTCAGTAACGTACTAGTTTCAGTACAGAAGCTAGTTTCCTAGACCTAACTCCTCTTTGGTGACGTCCTGAAGGGAGGCCTGTGTTTACGAGAATCCAGAGCAACAAAGCCGAGCATTCAGTGGGTGCCCGACACAATCATTTTTCATGCTGTGTGATGAATTGCGGAAAGGTTGCGAAACAACATCGTGGTGTAGAAGTCATGTTTCATACTAGCTGCTCTGTGGCCCTGTGCCACTTTTCGAATAAAAAAGGCTAAGGAGAGTAAGAAAACAAAACAAGAAGGCTAATCAGAGTAAGAAAGAAAGGAAATTTGAGAAATGAATGGAAAAAGACGACTTGCTGAGCCACTTGTACCTGACATCTCCGATCGCTATTACTCTTTTGTATTCCACTACGCAGGTCATGATGACTCTCGTCACCACTGCCATTGCTGTCGGCATCGCAATGGCCATAGCAGACCCTGTCGTCGTGACGAAGAACGGCATCGTCTTGGGCAAGACGGTAACGATGTTGAATGGAACGATGGAGGTGGATGCCTACCTTGGGATACCTTACGCAGCTCCGCCAGTTGGAAAGCTCCGCTTCAAGGACCCAGTGCCACCAGTCCCCTGGAAACCATACATTTTGGACGCGACTAGAAAGGGATCGGCATGCATTCAGTTTACCCCAGCGAACCCGATACCATCATGGGCAGAGCACGAGAGCAAACAGAGCGAGGACTGCCTATATTTGAACGTCTGGACACCACGACAAAAGAAGAACGCCACAGAGAAGCTGAAACCCGTGATGGTGTGGATCCATGGCGGAGGCTTCGCTTCCGGCTCGGCTTCAATGGACCTCTACGATGGAGCCATCCTGGCTGCTGCGGGTGATGTAGTCGTCGTATCGATGAACTACCGTCTGGGCGTGTTCGGATTCCTCTCACTTCCGAAAGATCGGACGCCGGTGTACGGAAACCAGGGACTTCTGGACCAAGTGTTCGCCCTTCGTTGGGTCCAAGACAACATCGTTAACTTCAGTGGTGATCCTGCGCGTGTGACTTTGTTTGGGGAGAGCGCTGGCGGGTGGTCTATAGAATACCACGCCATGTCACCTATGGCACGCACGCTCTTCAGTCGAGCTATCGTCCAGAGTGCCGGAGTCCTGGTGCCACAGCTGGCTGACACGTTCAGTGTAGCAGAGGCGAAGGCCTTGCATCTTGCCCATAACATCGGATGCATTTCAGATGCTAACACTACAAGCACTGTTGGCTGCCTGCAAAACAAGAGCGCTCACCACCTTATCATCACGCAGTCCATTGTGTGTGCCCATTACTTGATGTGTTTTACCGCCGTCCATGGTGACGACTACCTGCCTTACGACCCCGTGAGCGAAGCAGACATGAGCACGCCCAAGGATTTCCTCCTCGGAAATGTTGAAAACGAAGGCTCTGTATTCGCCAGTTTGTGGTTCTGGATGCAGTTTCCATTCCGCAGTGCCATGAACGTAAACAAGCAGGACATGCTGTACTTCTTCCTCAAGGCCTTCTCATTCTTGCCGAACACGGTGGCCAGAGCGGTGTACAACTTGTACGTTGGAGCTCTTCGTGAGACGGAATACCATAAACTGAGGTCGGAATTTGGTCAGGCCATCGGCGACGCCTTTCTTCGTTGCCCCGAGGTGTTTTTTGGCGAGAAGTTGTCACAGCACAAATCGCACGTCTACTACTACAACATGGAGTATAACTCGGAGACGGACACCCACCTCGACCACTGGCTTGGCCTGACACACTTCGAGGACGTGCAGTACGTGTTCGGAATGCCTCTCAGAGACAGCCCTCCGAAGAACTACTCATTTCTTGATGCGGAATTCAGTAAACACATCATAGACATATGGGTGACCTTCGCGAAAACTGGGTAAGCATATTTCTTTGCGTACTTTACATTCAATCAATGTTTCAAATATTAAGAGCACCAGATCTCAAGTAAGGTGTGCGAACGTGTACATATGTGGTCACACTACGCGTGCATTTTACATAGCATACGATATAAGCGGCAAAGTTTAATACCGGTATCACAGCATGCCCTGCTGATCGTGATTAAGCATGATCGGGACCGAATTTCTGAAGAGTGACTAATTTTTTTCTGCAGATTGCACAAAGAAGCCAAACACAGTTTAGAAATTTGATCCATATCTGGCCTGATCACCATCAAAGGTGGCCGTGTGACAACGGTATAAGAAATGATATGCATATGTTTCTAGCAAGAATATCGATATATAGATATATTTATTTAAAAATGACGTGGGTGCAGATCGGAACAATTTTTGCAGGTTTAACTCACATATCTGAACAATGTTCGCAGTTTTAACTCACAGTATGAAGCACTGACCGTAATTGAGTTCCGACTTCTCAGTCAACTCCTGGAATCGCATACAAGCCGTACGTCCGCGCGACATGTCTTCACGGTGCAACATGCGAAGTAGATCGTGCTGAGTTGTATGAAGAGCACCCTGACTGCTTCTACAGGCACCTTAATACGCTGGCATAACGGCGACCACCCCCATTGGCATTGCAGGTGTCGTGCCTGAAAGTGCACAACGTAAGACGATGACAAAAACTCTATGATCGTTGGTCATCGTTAAGAAAACGTTAGCCTAAGACATAATGCCCATCTCGGTCATACTTCTGCGTTAGTGTGAATATATAGAGAACGTAAAATAGGCACAAATCCGCAGGATAATAGTTCAACTGAGTTTTACAGTTGATCAATGTTTTTGCTTTTTTTGTTCCGTGTTGCGGAAAAAGTCATCACAGCATGCGTTTCTTGAATCGAAAATTGGTTTAGAAGCATCTGGAATACTTTACGCAGTAGGCCATGCAAAGATGATCGGCCCCTGTAGTCTTGGCTTCATTAGCACAGATAGCTGAGCATGACAGCGCATAAATGTTTGTCTTCTTTGGAAGGCCTATTTATGGTAATTACAAGTATAGCGCCACTTGAGTTTGCAGCACATTTAAACAACCGACCCCCCCCCCCTCCCTCCAACCTCAGGGTTCCGCCAATGAAGCAAGGTGGTTTATGGCCGCTGTTCGACTCCACGGACCACAAGGTGGTTATCCTGGACCACAACAGCACCCGTGCCGAGACGCTGCAACAACTAGAACGTTGCCGCTTCTGGGAGGCGATATTCAAGCCCGACATCCACGGCACGCTCTCTGACTGTCTATGAAAGTTACTGTGCTGCACACGTTGTACAATCACTGTTCCTTACAGCACAAAGTCACGCGAACGCTATGCGACAAAATCAACGCGTGTGCTTTAGTGACCTGCTCTCGACCAAAACCGAGAAAGTGACGTTCAAGCGCTGCGATACAGTGCCCGTATAAAATGCGATCCGTGTATATAGCGTTACTTTTCAGAGTCGAGCATACAGTATTCCGTCATACTTGGGCCTAGCAAGCTCCTCCACATTTACTGCAACATTGTTGATAACTCCAGATCATTTAGCTTAACTTGAAGATTTTTTTATAATGTCTGTCAAGTGCGAAAGAGATACCAAGAAGGGTTTTTTTATTTTTTTTGATGTCCTGGAAGCTTCACTTCCTGCCTGTTGTTGAGAAACATGCCACAATGATGCATTTTAGCAAGGTAACTCGTAACTTTTGCTCAAAATGGCTGCTTCCACCTTTAATTAAGCACCTTGGCTGTCCTATAACAACAGAATGACAGAATTTTCATTATAACAATGATTCAGAGAGCTTTTTTTCATTATTTCTACTTATTTATTACATAACCATAGGACCATAAATGTCATGTGAAGTACACGGGAGGCGGTAACATGCTGCGCCTAGCACAGAATGCTTGGTGCGGAAAGCCTTTCAGCAGTTATCGTCAACGCCGTGGTGTTGAGTATGGTGTCAGAAATTGTCGTAAGAGCCTGAGCGTTATAAGTACACTTGCGAACAATTATTGGTCAAACAATTCACTATATCAGCTGACAATACAGAGAACATGATTACCATGAAAATGAAGTATATTTATATTGTGCCAACGCGTGAAAGTTGTACGTTTAAAAAAAACGAAATCGAGCCACTAATTACTCATGCGCAACATGCCTTATATTGGTGTGGAATTTAAAGCGGCAGTGGAGTTAGAATGAGTTCATCATCACCTTACCAATTCCTGCTTTCTCGGGACGGAAAACGCGCGCACACACACAAATCATTTTATAATGCACATCAATATTTTTTTCCTGTCAACTACTCCAGAACATGCCTGTAGGGTGCTCCGCAGACTACAGGCATCACAACGCTTATCACAAGACGCCAAAGGGAAGAAAGAATTTCGGCCTTTACTTATATTGGCCTTCTCTGAAGCAGTTCAAGATCCGAGTTGTCTCTGGGAAGATGCGTTGTTATTTGGACGTCAGTGTTGCTGACCGAGGTATATCTTATTGTACAATAGGTTGGTCGGGCTGGGAGATGTTACTTACGGGCAAAGTCACTCAAGAAACAAGTAAAGCAAATTAAGCAACAAGATTGAGCCGAGCACATTCTCGCGGCTACGACTTTTACGACAGGGTATCCAAACAAGCCAGCTCAATGTGACCACTGTATGGGCATGTACCATTGATTTTCAAAAGTCTCTAAGCGCTTTTACGAGTCATTCATCTGCTAGCACCTAGACCCCTACTCGCATCACGCCGATGCCCTTGCAGATGCCAAGACGTTCCAGACGTGCGTTGAACACGAGGTAGCAGCTCACGTGTGCGTGGCTTCACGTGCTAATGAAGTCTATTCTGGGCTACTATAGAAAGGCAAACTCGCAAATTCACACAAATCACATACTTTGTATTTATTGCTGTCACTGTTGTTTCATCATTGATTAAATTAGTCGAACCCATTTGCCATATTATGTGCACTCTGATTTCAATGAGCGTAACATGCTTGCCCTCGTGTTCCCATGACATTGTTCGTATTACCTAGGAGTTGGAAAATATGCTTGTGAATGTATTACCTTTTACTGACTTCGACTTTGTCTAGGTCTTCGAGCATATGCAGCAACGACCAGGCCCGTAGTCAGGGGGGGGGGGGGGGAGCTTCACTGATGGAACGGTGTTTTAGGCTCAGTATAAATACTAAAAATAGGCGTTTTTCAGGTCCTTCAGCAAGTGTCCCCCCCCCCCCCCCACCTACCCTTTTCCGAAAAAAAGTTCCGCTTACGGGCCTGGCAACAAACAAAGGTAAGTAGTTTCACGCTGAAGAGGAATATTTCGTGTCGTATCAAGCGAGTATTCGGAGAGTGCGTGTCTTGACATGTGAGCTGTAACGATTCTGATTTCAACACAGGCATCCACCCACTCTTCCACTGCTTAATGCCATTTTCTTTGCAGTAGGTGGCAAAGTACAACATATGTACAGTGCTCAACTCTCATGTCTATAACGACGGAGCATCGCGCGCGGAACAGCACGAGCGACATCTGCAGTCGCAAACATGCCACATTTGATCATGCAAGGCGCCAATGACGTGCCTCTTCAGCAGTTTCAACCCTTCTTAGTCACTGCGGTCGTGATGACTGCTTTGGCCGTCGAAGTGCTGTCAACATTATAGAACTGAAATAAAAGAAAAAAAGATACATTCTCGCTTCGTCATATCATATCTCAGTGACAACGGTTTTACTTTGTCTTTTCGTCTTGGTTTTTGTTTTGTTTTTTCGCCAAATTGTTCAGAGTGCTTTCGACGGCCAAAGCGGTGGTTGCATCCGCGGTGATAAACAGGGATCAGCATTGCAAAGCAGGCACATCACTGGCGCCGCACATGCTCAGATGTGACATATTTGCGACGGCAGATGTCGCTCGTGCTGTTTCGCGCACGATGCTCCGTCGTTATAGGCCTGCGAGTTGAGCGCTGTACATCTATTTAGCGTAATTTTGTAACGTTTCACTCAATAAAGAATTGGCCCCGTATCTGCATGTTACACTGCAACTGTCGTCGAAAGAAGATAGTCTTGCGTCTGGAGAGAGTCAGTAAAACGTTTATTTGATGTTCTGCGCAAGAAAATCGGTGAACGGTATTCTGGAGGCACTGCGTTAGAGTGCCCCGAGCGCGTAGCGGAGGCGAACGAGCGCATCAAGTCACGTCACACATGAGACATGACCGTTATCTGGCAGTTATCTTGGAAAACAAAACGCGTGGCTCTGAGACGGGCATGCGCGCCCTTCTCAGAGGTGGTAAGGTGTAGAACGCAATGCGACGGGTAGGTGCCACCACCGTGTCGTCTTAGCAAAGCGTTGGAAACACTTCCTCTTCGTGCAAGCGTTACATGGTCAGCGCAGCGTGATAAACGCTACGGTCTTTAGAATTATTTATGGAGCCTTTTCCAGTAAAAGCCGCACATACAGAATATATACGTGTTGTTATGTTGCCTCAGATATGCCTAATAACTGCTTGTTAATTGACAATCGCACAAGTGTGAACGCTGAATCTTGAGCAATATTGTTGGGCGCTGCGGATGGGGTTGGCCGTTTGGGGTATCGTCTGGTGTTGTTTAGGGTACCCAGTACCATTTAGGATGGACAAAGAGACAAATATACAGACAGACAGACAGACATACAGACAGACAGACAGACAGACCAATATTTTTGCGTCGAAGGTCCCCAAGAAGGACTATCGTCTTTAAAAATACCACAGTCACATGCCCTCCGCATGCTTCATATAAAATCGATTCCCACGGTACGTGAGGCTCATCTTTTTTTGCAATAAATGTGGACTCGAAACACCATGAGAAGCTACTCACACTTCGCAGCCCCTATATTCCAGACATGCACACCTGAAGTATAATCACCCGTACTACGCTGCAAAAATGAAAACATTAGAGTGAGCATGAAGTGTGGTCAGTCGTGTTGCGATAGCCGAGCTGCATAGTGTCTCTCTAACGAACATTTTTTTGCCTCACTTAGTACGTTGCAGGGGCTCTATTACACGACTACCACATTAGCACTGTCGACTGTTTACGAGTGGTGGAGGACAATAAAGAAGTAGAAAGCAACGAAGACCAGTGAAAGCAGTCACATCAACATGACTCATCCCGTTAAATGACCCGCAGAACTAACGTATCTAAAGAAAAACTCATGGTCTCCTCATTGACGATGGCCTCCGAAACTAAAAGTGTGACTGTAGCACTATAGTGCTATAGGTAGCAGTATATGTATACGTTGTGACACTCAGGTGAAAAGTGCCTATTTTCTTGTTTGGTAAAAAAAAAAATCACAGCCTATCCGCGAAGTGAATGATGATGAGTAGGGCGAAGCGTCCGGACGGACTGACGGCCGGACGGGTGGAAGTACGGACTGAGTAACGGACGGATGGACAGAAGCACGGACATACTGATGGATATACAGATGGAAGCACGGACGGAAACACAGACGGACGAACGGATGGACGAACAGAAGCACAGATGTCGCGACATCTGGTTTTATAACATCTTTTCATGAATCGCAAGTACCACCATCTAGTGACCACTTCAAGAACTAAACTAGAGGTGGCAACATACTGCATACATCGAAGTATGTACAGACCCACGCACTAAGTAGCTTCGTCCCTAGTAATATCTATCTGAAGATACTGCTCCGATTCAAGGCCTTTGAGCCGTCACCTGAGGCCTCTGCACCACCATCCACAGGGCGTTGGACATGATATAATACGTTTATTTCATCATCATTGTGTACATGATGACAGGGGCCCGCAGTAAAAGCTGCAAAATCCGAGGATCGTTCCAATGAAAACTCCAAAAAAAAAAACAGCTTGACTGAGCTGCTGACCCCTAACTTGGCGAACAGCAAGGATTCAAGAATAAAAAAAAACACAACCAAATGTGCATAACATAACAGAAAAAGAAAAATGAAAGACACGATACAAGGAAGTACACTTTTAAGGCACAGAAATCGCGAGCAAACAGATAACAGGAATTATGAAAGAAAAAATGATAACAACTCTTTATTTGTCAATGTTTCAAGGGGTGCGCTTTTAGCTGCGAGGCTATTGAGCAGTCGCGGAAGCTGGTTTTCCAGGGTTTGCGTGCCGTAAGTTGTTCTGTATGTTTGAACGTGCCATATATCTGTATTTCTTGTTCTGCATATATGTTTTCGCGGCTCTAGCAGAGCAATCTTACGAAGTAGAAATGTACTATACTTGATTTCACGCTTGAAGGAATGACAAAGACGATACTCATATAATTTAGTTACTCGCACAATTTTGTGCTTGGTAAAAAGTTCGGTTGTTGTGTGCCAGCGAGGAAGGTTTTCCATTACGCGTAAGAAGCTCTTTTGTAGGACGTGTAATTTGTTTAGGTTTTCTTGTGTCGTGGTGCCCCAGACTAAGTGACAGTAGTTTAGATGAGAATAAAATAAAGACTGATAGATTAGGATCATCACGTTCAGCGGCAGCATCTCACGTTTTCTGTAAACAATGCCTATTATCTGCGACAGCTTGCTACCAAGATAGGTTACATGGTCGTCCCAGGACAGTTTTTGATTTATCATAACTCCTAATGTTTTAATCGATGGCACTATTTCTAGGGGAATACGCAGAAAACATATATCTCTTGTTAATGCGACTTTTTTGTTTTTTCCTCTAAAGATGACGACTTTAGTTTTTGAGCTGTTTATCTGTAATGCGTTCTTTCGTCTCCAGTTATCAAGTTTGTCTAGTGCGTCATTTGCTTGTTCTGTCAACTCGCCTATATTATCTCCAGCTAGAAATATGCTCGTGTCGTCAGCGTAGCATACAATTTTTGCGAAGGGTATAGTCTGCACAATATCATTTATAAACATGTTAAAAAGAAACGGGCCCAAAATGCTGCCTTGTGGGACGCCACACTGAACAGGCCGTGTATCGGATAAGAATCCGTTTACAACAACTGCCTGCCTACGGAATTCAAGATAAGATTTTACGAGTGCAGATGCATGTCCACGAAATCCGCAACGCTCTAACTTGCGCAGCAATAGTTCATGGTTTATTAGGTCGAAAGCCTTCGTAAAGTCGACATAGATCCCAATAACTATTTTATTTTTGTCAAGTTCCTTTAGAATGTGTTCTTTTTGTTCCAGTAACGCGAGCTCTGTCGAACAGTGTTTTCTGAAACCAAATTGAGAGTCGCTAATTAGGGAATGCTTAGATTCAAAGCTCACGAAGCGCTTATGAATAACATTTTCAAACAGTTTTGAAAATATTGGTAGTATAGATATTGGCCTGTAATTTCCCAATTGATTTCTGTCACCCTTTTTATAAATTACTGATACACGCGCAAGCTGCATACCACGAGGAAACACTGCCTTAATGATACACTTGTTGAGAATATGCGTAATGTACGGCGAAATAATGTCAAATATAAACTTAATTGGTTTAACTTGGAATCCATCAATGTCACAAGATGTCGTGTTGTTTAGCGTGTTGAATGTGCCCATCACCTCAGCTTCATCAACCGGGCTAAGAAATAGAGTATTTTCAATCGAGGTAATGTTTAGGAGGTCATTGAACACTTTCACTTCACAAAAATGCTTACAAAATGGCGATTAAATTCATTGGCCAGTTCCTGGCCGGATATAGCTTCCCCGTTTAGTACAAGTGTGGAAAGTTCTTTTTCTCAACTTTGTTTCCCTAGAATATTGATTAGCTTTTTCCACGTTAAATCAGTGCGACCCTGGCATGCAACAAACTGATTTGTGTAATAATCTGCTCTAGCTTTTTTAAGTTCCTTGTTCAGGCGATTACGGAGATTCTTAAAGATACGCAAGTCATTCGCATCTTTAGTTTTGATAAACTTGTGATACAAAGTGTTTTTCAACCTAATCTTAGTAAGCAGTTCTTGTGTGATCCATGGCTTCCGAGTTCGGTGGTTGTTCCTCACAACT